GTTTGAACACGCCTGTGAGCGAAATGCTTAGGAGCGGTCTCTTTGGGCGCAGAAGCTGTTAGCTCTTCCCGGCGAAGTGTCCAACGTGATAACGTGCTTGTCGAGGGAAGCGTTTGAAAGCTATGATTAGGTTAAGGAAGTGCTCTTGAGACGTTATAAGTTGTCACCCGAGGCTTTCAGGCAAAGGTTCCGGTATTCTAAAAAGGGGAATGAGTCACACGTTGACTTCGCGTTTCGTCTTAAAGCCGATTTAATTGAATGGCTCAAGGGCGAAGGTGTTTATGACGATCGCGATAAAGTGGTAGAATGCATTGCATTGGAGCAATTCTACCGCTGCATCGAGTAAGATGTCAAGATTTGGCTGCAGGACAAACTTGGTGAAGTACAGCTAAACAAGGCAGCAGAGTTAGCTGAGGAGTATTATACTCGCCGAAAATTGCATAGCAGGGCAGTGCGCGTTGAAAATGATGAAAGGAAAGAGGGCTTTTCAATGAAACCTGATCAACGGAAACCCGCTCCGCACCGTAATTTTAGGAAGGACCTGTCTCTTACGAATGACACTGTAAAGGAAGGGCTAACGGAAGCGGAGAAATCGAGTGAGGTTCCTAATGGTGCATTCAGACGACGGACCGAATCCGGATTTGTCGTGGACGCGGACAGCTAATCCGCGGATAGTCCGCCTGCAAACAACGCACTGATACCACACGGGCATTTGAATGACGGAAGACGCTAATCTGCTACAACTGCAAAAAGGAAGAGCACATCGCGATAAATTGTAAGCAAAAGTGCTTTCGCAACAATCCGAGAATCGGAAAAGAACATGCGGTTGTTAGAGCCGTAACTTCAAGAAATTAAGGTGAATGGAAAACGTGTCGAGCACTTAGAGACTCAGCGGCAACCATGGACGTTGTCCATCCTTCATTGGTGTCTCCGGATGACTTTACACAGGAGAATGCGCGTGGATTAGGCAAGTCGCCGAGGAGCAGAGTGCTTGCTTACCAATCGCTACGGTTGTCATTGAAGGCCCGTTCGGTAAGCTTCGCACCGAAGCGGCTGTGTCTGTCGCGCTTCCCGATCGTTTTCCTTATCTTTTCTCTAACAACTCAGAGCAGCTTCTCAAAGAGCAGGGTAAATCGTTCTTCCTCAACTTAGCGTACATGGCCCTCACGCGATCGCAAGCGCGGAAGCTTTCGCAGGAGCTTGATCTTGTTCAATGCTGTGAACCTTCAAGTGACCTTGGCGGCGAGTCGACGGAACCTCAGAGATGAAATTTTCCGTGTGAGTCATGTGAGCAGTCACTCGAGCGGCCCGTTGCCGAAGCGACCGGCGCGGTTTCCGTAGCAGGGGGAGACGACATGGCGCCATTGAGTCAGAGAGAGAGGGGTGCAACGCTCTCGCCTGTAGCGGCAAGTTGGAGTGAGCTGTCGAGGGTTGATCGAGAAACGCTCAGTTGAGAGCAGCGTGAGGACCTCTCGATAAAAGCGCTAATGGAAAGCGTAAACTTGGGAAAAAAAGAAGTGTTTTTTTTTTAGAAGGGAGGGCTCTTGTCTCGGAGCTACACAAATGTGCAACGACTCTTACTGACCACTTTGACTTCCTGCCGCAGCGCGCACGCTCTCCTCGTCGGCGATCGCCCTCCCCCATGCGTCGCCGGCCCGGACCCCCCCGACAAGAAAAACTAAGCACCGCAGTTCAAGAGGCAAGAACAGTGCCAGTTCCGAACTGTCTAAGCCCTCGCTCCTCTCCTGCTAACGTGATCGCAGTAACTGTTGAAGGTTGTTGTACTTTCGCCCTTGTGGACACCGGCGCCGCTGTTTGTTGTTGCCGCTATAATCTCTGCCTTTTATTACGCAAAGTCCAACGCCGCTTTCGGGACTGTCGCTCCAAACCGCAAGCGCACAGCAAGTAACGCCTCTCGCAGCCTGCACAGCAAGAGTGTCCATCGAAGGCATTCTTTATGGCATCGTGGAGTTTATTGTCCTCGCTGTCTGTTCGCATGACGGCAACCTCGGGTGGGACTTCCTATCCCGCCATAATGCCGTCATCGACTGCGCACGCTCTGAAGTTGAATTTTCACCCTTGTGTGATGTGCCATTACTTGACGCTCTTCATCAGCCGCCGAAGTTGTTCGTTCATGAAGATACCGATATTCCACCTGGAAATTTCGCACTGGTTCCCGTTTCATGCAACTCCTACACTGACGCTAAAGTCCTTTGTACGCCTTCCGTTATCTTCACGAGTTATCTTCATTCAAGCTTTGGTGAGCATCCAGTCCATCTATTCAACACTCCAAGGACCACCATCTCGCATATTTTCATCATATAAGTTCCCAATATAGAAGCACCGCCATCCAGCGGACATTCCAAGGACTAAACGAGAGGTGGCACACGCACACTTTCTTACGGCTTGCGCTTCGGGTCTACTTCCCACCTTTAATTACCTCGAGTTCATGGTATATACTAGTTACCTGTATTCATGGCACTGCGGCCCAACGCTCGCTAAACCTTTTTAAAACCAAGGAGGCTACGCCCAGCGAGTATAACGTAGCAACGTTTTCCTGTTAGATAGTGCTCAATGTACATGCTAATGGCTGCTAATTGGAAATGAGAGACAGGAGAATTCGGCTTTTACTTTCTTACGGCTTGCGCTTCGTATCTACTTCCCATTTTTAACCACCTCGAGTTCATTCATGGTATATACAAGTTCATTGTATTCATGGCACTGCGGCTCAACGCTCGCTAAACCTTTCTAAAGCTAAGGAGGTTACACCCAGCGAGTATAATGTAGCAACCCTTTCTTGTCAGATAGTGCTCAATGTACATGCCAATGGCTGCTAATGGTGATCGCAGCCTGCGCGTTAAATAAAAGCCGAATGCTCCTGTCTCTCATTCCCCATTAGCAGCCATTGACATGTACATTGAGCACTATTTTTTATTGTTCAACGACGCACAGAATAAGTCTCTCACCGGCACCACCTTGGAGGTCAAAATGTTATACTTGTTACATACTACGGGGGACGAACGGGTGTCGCTATAAGGAGCTTCGCCCCTAAAAGGCACCTATAGTTTCTGTCTGCCTAATTGGCGACACGGCGCAGTGCCTTGTAGGGGATGGGAGAAGGGGGATAAAAAGGAATAGTATAAAGATAAAGAAGAGGGAGCACTCGCCGCACAGCAGCGACAGAAAGAAGAGAGAAAGGTAGAAAGATGGGAGCAGTTGAAGGAGTTTGGAGGACGGGGCACCACTCGGCGAGAGCTACACGGCGTCGTGAGATCATGCGCGGCGGGCCGATGTGCTTCATCTATTAACATGTCGTAGTTTAAGATTCTACATTTCCCGCTCATAGTACCCCTCCCCACCCCACTCCCTTTCACCACAACCATAATTTTAAATGCTAGACATTTTTTCTTCGATTTTTAGTCCTTTATACAGCGATTGCATGAAATGTATAAACCAACCGAATATTCATGACCACAGCAATGGTGCTCTGAGGCCCATAGGCGGAGACTAAGGGGGGGGGGATGGGGGGTCTGGGGAGCTCTTGCCCCCTCCGGGCTGCATCTTGGAGGCAGAGCCCCTGGTGCTGGCCCGAGATACCTTTTATGAGCTTGGCTAAGTTTCTCATCCTCCGCCAACAAACAGTAAGTCATCCGATTCCGCAACTATTTCGCAGGGGACTGTTTATGTATGTTCATGTTCCTTTCAGCCTATAAAAATTTGGATCATGGGGCAGTGACAAATAGATAGTCCGGCATATCCACAGCTCTAGTGTAAAATAAGTACAAGACGAACTCGTGCACATGCATCAATAAAATGAAAGTTTATGTATGCAACAGACATTTGTCTATCTGAATAGATAAGTTCTCTCTCTCTTGCTGTGTGTGTGTGTGTGTGGAGAAAGAAATGCGAGAGAGCAAGTCATTCCGCTTATGCTTTGGCTATACCATGGCCCTTGCACCCCTAATCACCACGTATTATCATCCTTCAGCCGCGTTCGTTGCCAGCGCTTGGGTGCTTTTACTCGCAGGTAGGACATATGATGCGCGCGACATGTTACCAGTTGGGACTTAATAAAAAAAATGAGGGCGACTGCGACGGCTAAGATCCGTGGAGAGTGCCCAAGCAATTGATATCGCAATACCAAATGATGGCAGCGCTTTCCGTACGCTTGTGTAGGCACCATCAAAGTTCACGCTGAGTTACGGTTGCCTCTCGTGAAGTTGTCCAGGGCATATCATCAAATGACAATGTGGTTACCCTTCAAAAATATTTTATACCGCCATTGCTGACTCATGAAATGCCTGTTGACATCAATGAAACAGCACACTTACCTTTTACGAAATGAGGAGGCGCTGGATTTTCTGTGGGAACAGTCGGCAATGACCCATCAGTCAAGTCAGAAGAACACAAACGGCGTTTGTGTCGTCCGGCCATTCTCGTAGTACTGAACGCAGAACTTTAGACCAATCAAAGTGCCCGCATGTCACTGTCATGCCCAGCTGTTATCATTTCGCTATAAAGTTCGGTGTGTAGGCTAATTTGCTAAGGCCTTTTTGACGCACCTTGAAAGCGTTAAAGGGGAGACTTGCTGGAAAACAGGACGTTTGCTTGAAGTACGCACTAACGTACGCACATAGTGCATTGTGACTACAGAGGGAGTCACTTTTGGTCAGGATCTCATTCGGTCGGTTCACCCTGAAGTGTGGGCAGATCCGTGTAATTTTTGCACTACTTCTGGTTTTAACTATGCTAGATCAATTATGTACAGCAGCTGAACCGTCGCCGGGGCGTTGATTTCGACACCAAATAATCCTCGATATTAACTTAACTTTTTTCTGTGGCGTAATGTTAAAGCTCATTAATGTGACAATGTGACTGATGCACGACTTCAGTTCATGCCTGTCAAGCATGGCCAGAAGGATCACAGACAGCGCACATGCGAGGGTGCGCACAGCAATAAAGCATGTCACACAACACACAATGAAGACAAGGGTTCACAATACTTTTGGGAATCTGCCTTATTTTATTGCGCACTTGATGACTGTCTCCCTTCGTGTAACAGAAAAAAAAGAAAGTGAAGCAAGACCGCGAACAGTCTCAACACACCTTTTTTTTCTTTTCTTCTTTCACATACACGTGATACACGAGAAGAAAAAAAAAACTAATAAACTCAACATCATTCTTTCACAAGAGAACTACCATCTCTCAGGACAACAACACTCTCGCTGATGACCTTGTATTAGGCAAAGAAAAAATAATAAAAGACATTGCAGCGACTGTCCCTCAAAGAAAACCGGAACACTGGCGCGAGCAAGCAATAAGCTGCGGTCCAAGCATGGCAATGCGATCACGCAGAAAAGCCTTCAGGCTCACGAATTGCAGCGAACTAGGAAGAAAGCCCACGGCAAGCCAGGAGGCTGCATCTTAAAAACCTGCATGCACCCAGCCGACCTCCCGCGCGAGGCCCTTTCGATTCACGCTGCACTCCGCAAATGCTAGCGAGTCAGTTCCGTGCATGCATAGAGCAACGAGTTCGCAACATTGCACTTCCGATTCTACAAGGAACGCCGTTGTGCACTTGTGCACAAACGTTGGCACCGTGTTCAGACGAATGAAAACTTGTAGACGTCATCATACAACACACGTGAAACGATTATCGGTGGTGTGCAGCACCAGTTTCGGGTAGTGTAGGTAATCGAATGGACCAGCGCGACAGGTGGCGATCAAGCAGAATTTGTGCAGGCCCCAGCATCGCAAAGAAGAAGAAGAAGAGAGACAAACTATGAGAAGACGAAAAGTACGGGAGGCAAAGCAGCTAAAAACAGAGAACGAGCGCAATTACACTTCTCCTCAGTGGACAATAAAGGAGCTCGAAAACTTAATTTGTCATGGTTATGCAACGAAGACAACAACGAAACACACACAGATGCAACAAAAAGGAAGGAGAGAAATAAAATATCAGTTCTTAAACTAAATTAGCACCAATAAAACACAAACTACAGGAAGAAAAAAAAGGGGGGGGGGGGGGTCGGTAATAAGAAATGTTTTCTTCGCAAACGCTTCATAGGCGATATCAGCTATATATACTTTCAACCTCACCCTCTTAACCAGATGAGAGAGAGGAGGAAAAAAACACGACTGCATGTAATATGTATACCAGACGCATGCACACGCAAAACATTGACTAGCTGGAGAAATATGCCAACAAGACAAAAACACTCCTGTTTGTCATCTCTGAGCAAAGAAACAAGAAGAGGCAAACCTGCTACATTGTGTACGGTCAGAAATTTAAAAAAAAAAGATCCGGGGTTAAGTCGATAGTTCGATGGATCCACCGCTTTTCACAAAATTGGTGATTGAGCTTGTGAACACCGGCGAAGCTTTATAGGCGAATGTTTGTTTTGGGCGAAAGCTGCCGTCCACAGAGGAATGCAAATGACCGCACACTGCTCTCAAATTACAAGCACGATTCGGGATTTCCCATTTCTATCTTGGCTACACAATGATAACAACGTGTAATCTCAGGTATACGAATGGCAATCCACATACTTTTTTTTTTTTGAATAGCAAACAAGCTGCATTCGAGATATTGGTGCTATTTTCTTAGCTTTTACGCCTATTCGCAGATAATAAATAAAAAAGGAAAATCAAGTTTTTTAAGTAAGAGCGTGCGTTCTCTATTACAGAGCTTTCTAAAATATGCACTAAAAAGCAAAGTAATTGCCAAAATAAAATTACTGCACTAACAAGGTAATTTACATCGTCACTCTGTTGAGCAGATTTTCCAAAGCAATTAACATTAAGAAAAAATTGAACCAAAATTCGACGAGAGGGAAGCAATGCTCTGGACAGCGGCTTAACGCACCTGTTGTTTGAAAACTGTGTGGCAACGTCGAAAACGTGACTAACGTATGTAGACTAATTAACAGTAGAAACAGACATTTAGTACGTATCAAGTAAATGGACGTATCATTTCTTGGTGACATTTCAAAACTGTTTAGCATCTTTTTCAGTTGAAAGAAAATGAAAGACCGCCAAGTGCAGCAGTCTCGCACGGATGGGACGTATACGTTAGTAATGGGTGGATGCTCATTTTACAAATCTCAAGAATTGGAAGAAAAAAAATGTAATAGTGCATCGCAGGTTGAGCACAACTGTCGGGTTTTTTTCTTTCTTTACTAAAGTAAGTGCAGTAACCGCAACGAAGGTTGCGCGAAGAATTGCAATGATGTCCACAATTACAGAAAGGTGTACACGACGTAGACAAATATCTTCATCTAAGTAATAAACTTTTTTTTACACATGCGCGACAAAGGGGAGATGTATGTGTGTGCGAGGCATACTTCCGTACACAAACATCGAGCACTCAGTTTCTTCTCTATACCCGTTCTAAATGTTGAGTGTCATTTTTCTTTTTAAATATTCTTTAGGTGGAAAGCACGTCGAGGGTCCAGAAGGAGTTGAATACACTTCAATCCAAAATATGATTTCGAAATACCCGCAATAGATCTCCGGTCCCCGACGGCCTTCCCGCTAAAGATCTATAAGGAACTCTAAGTCACAGCACCACGACAAACAAAAAAAGAGCGGTCGCGTGCACTTCATTTTTTTTTATCTGCTTTTATAAGTCTGTTTCCTTTTCACACGTTCTCGCATCTTTCATATCTTAGTTTCCTTACACAATCACTACGGTGGTCTGGGACACCACAACCGGGGCAATAAAGAGACTTAAGTAAGTCTAATCACCATTGAAAACCATGCAATGAAGACCTGGCTAGAAAGCGATTTGATTGCACTGTTACAATAATCGGCATTTACAGTTAAAATAATGTTCCAAGAAAGACAGTTGACGACGCAGTTATGTGCGGTCACTTCGAACGAAGCACCACTGCAGACCGCTTTCCTTCCAAAGAGCTAGTGCGCAGTGTAGTGGTAGGTTGCACCACTTCCCTTGTTACGATGCATTGATCAGCCACTAGGCGGCGCTACAATCCTATTGATTGCCCCATAGGCGGGAATTTTGAACAGTTTCCATTCACAGTCAAGATGTATTTTTTTTCAGATATACGAACCTATAAGAATAATCCAGTGCAACTCGAAGATTACACGAGAGACAGTAAATATATTAAACCTAACAACAAATTTTTCTTGTAAAACAAAACTTTTATTAAAAATGATATCATAACGCACAAACACTTTTTTTTTTCCTTTTCATTAAGAGTCAGTGCTATTACGATTGTGATAAAATGGCACTATTCCAAGCCGACTACATCTCATATGAGAACTAAATTTATGAAAGTGAAACTCTGACAGTTTCAGTTTGCCCTTGTGCTTCCCTGGTCGAGCATACGTTCAGTAAAGTAGATTAGCATAAATTTCAACGCATGTAACGCACACACGATTCTCCTTACTACCCCGGAAGTAGTATACCAACGTCGTGCTCTGCAAGAGTTAGTTCACATTTCTGCCTCTCATAAAAAGGCTAATTTTAAATATGACGATTACCTGCAGTTATAAAGTACGAAATGTCAGTTTAATGTCAGCCTCATTAGTAAGATGTCGCCACATTTCGCACATGCCTGTTTAGACGTTGACAAAGGTTTTTCGCACAACATTTTAATGTGATTTCTTAAGTTATAGTTACACTTAAGAAATGACAGCAATCACGTAACACTAGAGTCAGCTCCATTAAGTGATACCCAACACCTTGGAATCGGCTGATGTCCTAACATATGTGCAACATAACAAAAAAACCTTGCAGAGCTCGACTGTCGAATAACGTAGTGCATTCACTTTTTTCATTTTCCTGCTTATGGCTTTTACACACAATCGTCCGTTCAGTCACGACCATACAGCACAACAACAACAAAAAAATACGTCATGAAAGTGAAGAGCAAAAATAAAAAAAGAATGCGACAAAGCACTACGGCAAATCAGTCTAAAATAAAAATAAGCGAAGCTTGCATCGTGCCAAAGCTTCCGCTACGTTCCCCCTATAACTGTATAATATGCATCAGCATGTGTAGAAATCCCTGAATGTTGACAGGAGAACGCAGCGGAACGCCGACACGTCACACCGTAGCATGTATATTATATTTGGACTTGGAAAAACTTCGCCACACACGTACGTTCACGCTCATTTTCGAGAAAGCGCGAGGAAAAAAATAAAGAAAAGGTCCACCAACGATGAGAGACTTCACCACAAACTGCACACACATAAAAATTGTGTGAGGAGGAGGGGAGAAGGAAAGCACGAGCGAGAGAGAATTAAGACTATATAAACAAAGAAACTATGATAAACATACTCTTTTTTTTCCTTGCGTAAAAAACAAACGAAACATGAAGGATAAGACAAATAGAAGTATAAAAGAGGGAGAAGAAAAGCCTCTGCTTTGCGATCTCCTACTCTCAGGCGATTACACAACATAAGTTACCGTTGCACACTTCCCTGCAGTTCAGTCCTTCGGTTAAGACAACAGAAAAAATACCCGCTTTCAACGATGTCGATTTTATTGCGAAATGCTGCTTGTACGTGTTCAATGTCTGCGTGTGTGAGTGAGTGTATGAGTGTGCGACGCGCATGCGCCCGCTAAAGAAACATAAAAAAAAATGTGCAGCGCGGATTGCGGAGGATGATGCGACGTGAGAGGTTCGATTGGCACTGGAAGAAGAAGCAGTGCACTCTTGCGAGGCGGCATACCAGGAACCCCCTTCCGAAAGATGCCACGGGTGGTGCGATAAGTATCAACGATCTGAGCCAGGGAAAACGCGAGCGAGGCACCCAAACAGGCGTTTTTAACACCGCTCGGGCGACGACTTCCAAATAAAACAATTCCTTATGAAGTCAAGTGATGCCGCAAATCACGTGAAAGGCGGTAATGCCAGCTTAATTAACCAATCAGGCTTAACCAATTTACGTCACGAGGTGAGCATCTGGCTTTGACCAGCTTGTAGCCCCCAGTTTGAGCGAATACCGCCATTCCTGAATGTTAAACGACACGAGATCTAACGTGAGGAAAATTTCTATAACCGACGCTATGCGAAGGCGGTGAAAATTAAGCACCGAATTTGGTGATGTGCGGTGCGAAAGAAGAAAACGAGAGATCAACAGCCGTACAAAAATGAACCACGCAAGATTCAATGGTTTTGCTTCCTCATGCAGAATGCACTTTGCGCCATTTTCAAATGGCCACAAGTCATGCGGATGAATATGAGAGCACTCTACAGACTGCTGTCGTCGGGGGTCATTGTGTTAATTCCAATATGCCTTTCTACTAAAGTGGTAGGCCAAACACGCTTGTCAGCATTTCGAACGACAAGATTCATTTACACAATCTGAATTTTGTTTTTTCATGAAGGCAAAGCAATCTTGCGTAAAACATACAAGGTTGCCAGCAGTAAAATTCTTTGCCAAATCTTTATTGTTTATCGGTTTTGACGCCACTATATTTCGTGGGTACTCGCATAAGAGTTTCAAATACACCCGTAGAAACTTATTGCATGTTTTGCTGATGTAACATATATAAATAAATTTAAAAGTATTGCAAGGCAGTGTAGCCGAAAATCAACGGGAGCCTCTCGAAAGCTGATTACAAGTAGCCACCAAGCAGGGACACTGACATCTGCTCTGTAGTGAGATGCATGAGTCATGTGGTGAGAACCAAAAGTTAAACGATCCGCCACATCAAAAGGCAAAGTAATGCATAATGACGTACTACAGAGGAGAAATAATTTTGTGTTTCACGCCGCAACTGCTGGATACAAAGGGTTTGTTTCCTGTGTTGATAATGTGCGGTACTCGGCTTTGGTGTGCCAGACAAAAAAGAATTGGTAGAAAATGTAGTTTTTCACCCCAAAACAAACTGACCGATTTCAGCACATGTGGCATCAGCGACGATGAAGAAGACCCCACCTCCATCTCATACTGCTGAAGTAGAAAACTCGAAGAAACACGAATCATGCTACGAATCTTGTGCAGAATGAGCACACAAAACAGGATCCAATGCAGAAGGCTGTTACACAATGTGTAGTGATAATGTGAAAATAATAATAACAGAAAACAGATATGGCAGATAGCAGTGATTAAAGTTTGTCTTGTCTGAATGAGCAGACTAGTAGTTAAAGTTCAATCCAGTATAAAGTAGTCACACTCTCGCACACCAAAACAGTGCGAACGAACATGGTCTACATGGTCAATAGCCATCAAGAAAAATGCCAAAGTATTCCCGTGCCAAAGCGTCTCTTAAGGTTTGTTACACAAGTGCTTCAGAAGGTTTCTCACTTCTCACGCGCACACTTGCAAATATAATACCAGTAGCTGTTATTCTTACAAGCGGATATTATATCTAAAGTAGCACACACATTGTGTTTACACACATATATATTTAAATTATGTTAACATCTTTTGAGTTTTCTGCTTTCGTGCATTTGATTTTGAGAGAGGGTACAACAGGACTTGAACTGCGTCCATTTGCACGTGCTTCCTTCATGTGCTCGCAGTGTACAAAGATACCAACTGAGGACCTCAAGGAGAGTGAACTTTATTTGATGCACTGTGCATTATTCAATCTTTAATAGTGCACTGAAACATATTCGAAAGTGTTTTTGGCTCTATTAATAGCTTTAAGCTATAAATATGCCTTAATGAAATTCCCTAAAGACACAGAGAACACAGTTATGCATCCTTTTCAAATATTTCATGCTATCTGAAATATGCTGCATCTTCAAATACCTTCAAGAACCAGGCAATGCCTGAAATATGCTGCATCTTCAAATACCTTAAGAACCAGGCAATGCACATTCTATATGGTTAAAAATTTGAAAGAAAATAAGCAAGATTATGTAGCAAAGCTTTAGAGCTGGTGGATGCCATCAATGTGGCTAGGAATTCACTTTGGACACTGCGTGCACGGGTAATCGTTGTGTCATTGGAACAGCAGTTAAGGCCAAAAATGTACCACAGCCTTTGTAGGAGGGGGTTTGTCTTGACAGCCGTCCCACTGAGACCTATGTACAGGACACAATCAACAATGCAAAGGTGGGAAAACGTTCCTAAATATGAGCCAACAATGTAATACAAAAATTGGACACATTCTTCCTTTGATGCTTTCTCATTTTCCTTCACTGAGAAAAGAACTGTTGAAGCCCAAGCAAGAAATGAAGTAGACAGGGGGGCAAAATACACGTAAAACCCAGATAAATCTCTATCCAAGATCAACACAACTATATCTGAAACTAACATCAGTCTCAGTGATCAGACACTGGTATAAAAAAATGTACATTGTATACATAATATGTTGAAAGGATAAAACATTTCATTTTATGTATAATGGCACTGGCAGCTGTCCCGTCTAGTCGTTTTCCTTTTGAAAGTTGTGTGCTTTTCACATAACGTGAATCTCAGTTTGCCTGCCTTCAGTGCTCGGAGTGATTAAATGGTATGAATGCCTGGACAGTGTGAGTGAAAAAGAGTAAATGGGTGAGATTTTTGGTCCGAATACTTGCAATAGGTAAAAATGCAATTTTGAGGTAGAGTGGTAAAAAACAGGAATTACCAGCCTTATCTGAGGTAGCATGATCATGCCTATTAAGCCGGCAGTGCTGCTCAAACATCAAAAGCAAGTCTAAAAAAAGAAACAATGTCACCACTATGTAAAAAGGACAATGATAGGATGCACATACAACAGGCCATAGACAGGTAGAACACATGGATATCTCGTTGGATTCCACAGCCTGAGCACAGTTTACACTATTATACAGACAATTCATGAACTCTTTTTGCATTTGCAATATTCCCTGAGTTGCTCACTGCATTTACATCATCGTACACAGCGTCCATTCAGCTCTGGCCTACAGGAAACGCAGGCTGCAGGGCTTCATCACTTGAGTGGGTTTCTTTTCGCGAGTGAAAAGAAAACGAACAAAAAGAAGTTGTCGGGACCGCACCATACCCGCGCCCCTGAATGCAGTGTTTCTTGAGGTAGGCAGGGGGGGGAAGGCGACAGCAAGGTCCACGATGGGTGCAGCCAGTGGACCACAACGCCATTCCAAGCAGCGTCCATGGCTTCGACACTTGTGGTCGCATCGCGAGCACGCTTTCGCGCCAAACTAGAGAAGACAAAAAAAAAAAAAAAGAACACGCGTCGTCATAGGGAAAGGTCTGGGGAAGGTCGGGAAGGGAGGCCGGTCGCGCGTCCACGCGCGCGTGGGCCTTCTGATATGGTAGGAACTGGTGAGGGAAGGGGATGGCGGGAGGAGGGTAGAGTGTCTCACTCCGTCTTGATCAGGGCCGGCGGAGAGTGGGCGTGCGGCGGCAGCGGGAGCGGCCGCGGAGGGTGGGCGGCGGACGGGGTGGGCGCGTGGTGGGGGGGCGACGGCGTGGACGCGTTGCTCGCGAGCGACGCCGGCGAGTGGAGGGCGCCGAGCGGCGGCAGCGGCGGGCTGCTCAGGTGCAGGCCGGGCGGCGGCGGCGAAGGCTCCCGCGGCAGGCGCCCCCCGGGGGCGGGTTGATGCGCTTCTCCTTCTGGCGCCGGTTGCAGAACCAGACGCGGACCACCTCCTTCTCCATGGAGAGGCCCTCGGCTAGCACGGCGATCTCCTCCGACGTGGGCTTGGGGTTCTGCACGAATGCCTTCTCGAGCGCCACACGCACGCTCGTCTCGATGCTGGTGCGCTTCTTGCGGCGCCGGCCGATCGACTCCGGTGTGGTGTGGGCGTTGGCGAGGGCAGCCGGGTTGTTCAGCGAGGCGTCCGCGTCCTCGAGCCATCGCTGCAGCAGCGGCTTCAGCTTGCACATGTTCTTGAAGCTCAGGTTGAGCGCCTCGAACCGGGAGATGGTGGTCTGGCTGAAGTCATTGCCGTACAGCTTTCCCATAGCCAGGCCCACATCTCCCTGTGTGAAACCTGCGCGGGTAAAGCAACGGCTACAACATCGGCGTCCAAATGGCCGGCAAAATGGACTCCGGCCACGGACAGACACACGGCATCGGTCAAGAAGCGCTAGGAGGCTCGAAGCGCAAGAAACGATAACATCAAATAAAATTTCTCGATATTTATTAATTATTCACTTATTTATTGGTTTGACGAAACATGACTTTTTCTAGTGCAGGAGGCTAAAGGTGACGTTAAAGGTCACCTGCCTAGGCCTATAGCACCCCTCTGTACATTCGTCATGCATCGTCACACAGGAGTGCAATTACCACAAACTCACAAAAAGAAAACTCTATAAAACTTTCGACAATAGGGCTTCTGCTTTCGTATGACTGACGTACCGAGCTTGATCCGCCTTTGCTTGAACGTTTTGGCAAACTGCTCGAGCTCTTCCAAGTCCGTCATTTCCTCCGGACTTGGCTCCGCTGGTCTCGATTTGACTTGGTGAGGACCTGTCGGCGCTTGCTGCAATGCAAAAACATGCCACGTATAAAAGGATGCAACCTGTTTACTAAGGAAAGCAACAGGTTAGCCCCAAGGAAAGTCATATAGATACTCATGCATGGGCAGGTAGACAAAGAATCGTTGCTTTATCAGCCCACACATTGCGGTAAACAGTCTTTTAAAATTGGAATAAGTGCACGCAGATGCTTATCCACATTGCGGTAAACAGTCTTTTAAAATTGGAATAAGTGCACGCAGATGCTTATCACAGTAGATGACAGCTCCCATACTCTTACAACGCTGTAACACAACGAACAGAGCGTGCACAAGGGCGTCGTGTAGCTCACGCTTCAACACACCTCCGAAACTTTTTGAAACTTGCAACGAAACCTGCGACATAAGGCTTACGGAGAAGAAAGCCACATACGCACGCGCTGCCTTTTCGCTTACTTGCTACGACCACTGCTGGCATATCCTGAAGTACTCCGCCGGTCACGGATGAGGAATCGAGGCCCTGCTTCTCAACCAATCTTTACTGTGCTCTCGCCCTCTTCTACACACCAACCTTTTCTTAACCAGGTACACAATGACAGCAAGCTCTCTTGCACACTTGCTATTCACACAAGAGCATACCCCACGCGGGACACGATCTAATTGCCGCAGCTGGACTTCATACTAAAACATCACGGCGACGCCGACGACATTTTGCTTGGAATGTCGCTAATGTTGCTATATATAGAATAAAATATAGAGACGACAGCGAGGCATTGCACACAAATGACAGCCTGAATGTGTACGAACCTTGTGCTGAATGTGAGCCATATTGTGTGGCGACTGGTGCAATGCCCGGTTGTGCCCCTGGTGCTCCTGTTGCTGTTGCTGCTGCTGCCGCTGTTGTTGCTGCTGGTGGTGGTGCTGTTGAAGCTGGTGCAGTTGCTGCTGCGCGGCAGCGGCAGCGGCAGCCGCCACGGTGGCTGCCGCTTGCGACGAGAGCACCCCAGGGGGCAGCGCCTGGCTGGCCTGCAGTTGCAGGTTCTGCAGGCTCTGCTGCATCAGGCCCTGCTGGAGGAGACCCTGCGTCGGCCAGACCGTGAATTAGGAAAGGAGTAATTTCTACTTGGTTACGAAACAGACACACATTATATTGTCGCTAGGTGAAAATAACAGAATACAGGACGACGGTGCGACCAGAAAAAACGAGGTATGTATTAACAGAACAAAAGAGCAGCCGCTTCGACTTCTTCTTCCTCAGAGGAACCGTGGGTGCTGTCCACGCTCATAACTTCATCGTCCTCTGTCTTCTTGCCCGGCCTTTAGCCGACACATTAGCCTCCCATTCAAGAAAGCATTGTCCCGATGCTTTATAATCAAAGTGGTTTGTACTCGTTGTAAACGCATGAGTTAATTCGGAGAAATAAGGCTTCATGCGTACCACGTGCACAACTTCTGGAGCATACCTTCGACGCCTTGAAGAGTGCGCAGTATCAGGAACAACCTCATAATTAATGTCACCGAGACGTCGCAGAACTTTATAGGGACCGAAGTACCGTCTTAACAGTTTTTCTGAGAGGCCACGGCGCCGAATAGGTGTCCATATCCAAACTTTCTCTCCTGGCTCGTAGGAGACTGGTCGGTGAAGGAGGTTGTACCGTCTTGAATCGTAGTCCTGCTGGCGACTAATACGTAGGCGTGCAAGTTGTCGGGCTTCTTCGGCCAGCTGAGTGATATAATCAGCACCCGTTTCAGCGCCTTCGCTCTCGTGCGGCGGCATAGCACCCAGCATAGTGGTGACTTCACGACCATGAAGAAGGCGGAATGGCGTTGTTCTTGTTGTTTCTTGATAAACCGTGTTATAGGCGAACGTGACATACGGCAAGATCTCGTCCCAGATTTTATGCTCCACATCGACGTACATGCAGAGCATATCCGCTAGTGTCTTGTTGAGACGCTCCGTAAGACCATTCGTTTGCGGATGATACGCCGTTGTTCGCCGGTGGGTTGTGCCACTAAGTCTTAAAACTGTCTGTAATAGTTCGGCTGCGAATGCAGTTCCCCTGTAAGTTATTACCACTGATGGAGCACCATGCCTCAGCACCACATTCTCTACGAAAAATCGGGCTGCTTCACTTGCCCTGCCCCTCTCCAAAGCCTTGGTTTCGGCGCAACGAGTGAGGTAGTCGGTGGCTACTATAATCCATCCGTGACCTGCTGATGAGTTTGGAAATGGGCCCAAAAGATCCATTCCGACTTGAGCGAATAAAGTAACAGGCACGTCAATAGGATGGAGGAGGTCTGCTGGTTTGACAGGTGGAACTTTTTTGCGCTGGCAATCAAGGCATGTCCGAACATAGTGTTGAACGGTCGCCGTCAGTCTTGGCCAGTAGTATTTCTGCCTCACTCTGCACAACGTACGCGTGTAACCCAGGTGACCGGATGTTGGTTCATCGTGGCATGCCTGTAATACTTCGCTCCTTAGAGATGTTGGGACGACGAGTAAGTAGTCGTTTCCGTGTGGCCTGAAGTTCATTTTATACAGGACGTCGTTGCGCAAGCAAAATGACGAAAGCCCTCTCGCAAACAGTCTAGGTACAGCTGAAGTGCGACCCTCTAAAAAACATATTATGGGTTCTAGTTCGGGGTCGTCTCGTTGCAGCTGTGCGACAGTTGCCGTGTTTACAACTCCGACAAAGGCTGTATCGTCATCTTCTGCCGTCGCAGGTTCGTATGGCGCACGAGAAAGGCAATCAGCGTCTGAATGTCGCTTCCCCGATCTGTAGGCCACCGTCATGTCAAATTCTTGAAGCTTCAGGCTCCAGCGCGCCAACCGTCCTAAAGGGTCTCTTAAATTCGTCAGTCAGCAGAGGGAGTGATGGTCGCTGACAACATTAAAAGGACGACCATACAAGTATGGGCGGAATTTTATAACCGCCCACACCACCGCAAGGCACTCTTTTTCAGTAGTGGAATAATTTTCTTCCGCACGTGAAAGAGTTCTGCTCGCGTAAGCAATTACTCGTTCGGCGCCATCCTGCCACTGCTTGAGTACAGCTTCTAAGCCGACATTGCTAGTGTCGGTGTGCACTGTTGTCGGTGCGTCATCATCAAAGTGTGCGAGGACTGGTGGCTTTTGAAGGCGTTTCCGCAGCTCGTCGAATGATTTTTGCTGCTCTTCATTCCATACGAATGGACGTCTTCTCTGGTAAGGCGGGTCAACGGCAAGGCAATGCGCGAGAAGTTCTCAATGAAGCGTCGGTAGTAAGCACACAGTCCTAAAAATCGTCTGACCGCCTTTTTGTCAGTTGGCGCTGGAAAATTCGTAACGGCAGCTATTTTTTTAGGGTCAGGCCGCACACCTTCACTACTGACAAGATGCCCCAGGAACAGAAGCTCTTCGAAGCCGAAATGGCATTTTTGCGGCTTAAGTGCTAGTCCGGCAGAACGGATAGCTTGAAATACTGAGTGCAGTCGCCTGACATGTTCGTCGAATGTGGCAGAAAATACGATGACGTCATCTAAATACACAAAGCACGTCTGCCACTTGAGACCTGACAGTACGGTGTCCATTAGCCGCTGAAACGTTGCCGGTGCTGAGCACAAGCCAAATGGAAGTACCTTAAATTCAAAAAGGCCATCAGGTGTCACGAAAGCTGTTTTCTCCCGGTCTCTTTCATCGACTTCTATCTGCCAATACCCACTCCTTAGATCCATCGACGAGAAATAACGCGCGTGCCGTAGTCAATCGAGTGAATCGTCGATACGTGGAAGTGGGTAGACATCTTTTTTTGTCACCTGATTCAGCTTGCGGTAATCTACGCAGAAACGTAAGGTGCCGTCTTTTTTCTTTTCTAATACAACCGGCGAAGGCCAAGGGCTTTTTGACGGCTGAATAACGTCGTCTTCAAGCATCTGTCGCACCTGCTTTTCGATGGCTTCACGTTCTCGCGGAGCTACCCGGTACGGGTTTTGCCTGATGGGTCTGGTCATGTCGTCCGTTATAATTCGATGTTTCGTCAGCGACGTTTGACGGACCCTAGAAATCGAAGAGAAACAATCTTCAAACTTGTTAATAAGCTGCATGATACTTTGCTTCTGCGCCGGCAGCAAACTTGGGCCAATATCAACAGATAGAGGTGCGGGGGTCAGATCAGTTGAATTATCTTTTTCAAGAGTTAGGCAGTCTGTCATCTCGGCGAGCTCTTCCACGTACGCGACTGCCATGCCCCTCGTTAGATGTCGGCGTTCAGAGCTGAAGTTCGTAACAAGGAAGTGCGTGTGTCCGCATTTCATGCTTACGACGCCTCTTGCGATAGATAAACCATGGCTGAATAGCAGTGTTGGAATTTGCTCGGCGATGTTTTCAGAATCGCTAAGCAAATCACATGTCACAGTCACGAGTGCACTCGACCGCGGTAGGATGGTCACGTCGTCTTCGAAGACTCGCAAGGGCTGACGTCGCTGGCCTGTACAGGGCACATCCGAAACTTGATCTGGGGCCATCCAAAACGTAACCAATCTCTCAGGAATGTTGATAATGGCACCCTATTCACGCAAGAAGTCCATGCCCAAGATCAGGTCTTTGCAGCACTCCGGTAAAATTACGAAAGTAGCGACGAAATCTGAACTGCCGATATTAATTCGAGCTGTACATTTGCCCGTCGACGCCACCAATTGACCCCCTGCGGTTCTGTTTGGGCCCGTCCATATTGTTCTTACTTTCTTTAGGCAGTCGGCAAGTTTACGGCTGATAATAGAGAAGTCCGCACCAGTATCTACCAGTGCTGTTATTGGGCGTCCGTCTATACAAATGTCTAGATTGGCGCTTACGATTTCCGTTGATGTCGGTGACGTCGTATCGTCCTTGGTGTCGTGGGTCGTACGATCCATGGTATCATTCGTCCTATCACGTCATAGAGATGTTGGGGGTGTGATAGCATCTCGACGAGCGGCAACCTTCCCCCCAAAGGTTGCAGCTGTTAGTTTCCCCAACGAGGGCTAGGAGATCTCTCCCGGACCACCTCGGAGTAACTGCGCTGCGGCGGCGAGTTCGGTGCAGGTGAAGGAGAGCAAGGTCGGCGACACGGCACTTCGGGTTGCTGTGCTTGCGGGCCTGCACTGCTGTCACGGCGGTTATCGAAATAGGCACGAGGGGAGGTTTGTAGAAAGTTATGATGTCTACGGTCACGGTACGGGCAATTGCGGAAAATATGGCCGGCTTCTCCGCAATGAAAGCAAAGTGGTCGACGGTCGACGGTGCGCCACAAGTCCATCTTACGGATGAATGGTCGACTGGTGGGTATACCTTGCGACCAAGATGCAGATGTCGACAGAGTGTACATCGGCGCCGTTTGCATAGGCACGTTGGACTGTGGATACAGCAGCGGCGGATTGGGAGCTGGGGCCCACGGCTCGTTGTAAGGCCCTTGGCTCATGTCATGATAAGCCAGTGGTGACGAGTTGTACGACACTGGAGTAGATAGACGGACAGCTGATGCGTAGCTTAGAGACTGCTGGTCTGAGAGCGGTTCGGGCAACGAAAATGCCTGGCGGAGTTCTTGCCGCATAACTTCTGCAACGCAAGCCATGGTATGTTCTTGCGGAATCACAAGGAGGCTTCGGATCTCCTCCCGAACGACCTCACGAATGAGTTCGCGCAGAGAACACTCACTACCGGCACTCAAAGCAGAGAGGCTGGGAGATGTTTTGTTTGGTTGGTCATGGTATCGGCGCCGTTGCTGCAGTGCTCGCTCGATTGTTGTAGCCTCTTTGACGAATTCCGCTACGCTTGTTGGTGGGTTGCGTAGGAGACCGGCAAACAGCTCTTCCTTGACGCCCCTTATCAAATGTCGGAGTTTTTTACCTTCAGGCATCTCGGGGTCGGCCTGCTGAAATAGGCAGGCCATGTCTTCCGCAAACATGGCGACGCTCTCGTTTGGTTTCTGTATGCGTGCCCCAATGAGCTGCAAAGCAGAATCACGGCGGTCGGCGTTTGCGAATGTCCCGAGAATTTGCTGCCGAAATTCCTCCCACGAAGACAGCGTTGGCTCGTGGTTCTCGTACCACGTACGAGCGCTGTCTTCCAAAGCAAAGTATACGCACGATAGCTTTTGTTCAGTGGACCAGTGGTTGGCTTTGGCGACTCGCTCATACTGGGCTAACCAGTCCTCGACGTCTTCATAAACCTCACCGTGAAAGGTCTCAGGAATTAGAGGCTGATCAACAGTAAGCTGTGAGAACCCTCCGGTAGCCATTTCTCCCGGTACAGTGTGTTGCTGGAGAAGTTCGAGCGGGATCGCCTCGGGACTAAGGCCTCGCTGTCGGCGACTGTAGCGGTGGACAGGAGTATCCACTGCAGGAACGGATTGCGGTGGTGGACTCGATGTGCTAGGGCGCGGAGGTGTCCCAAGCATCAGTTGGAGAAGTCCAGCACCTCCACCAATGTCGCTAAGTGAAAATAACAGAATACAGGACGACGGTGTGACCAGAAAAAAACGAGGTCTGTATTAACAGAACAAAAGAGCAGCCGCTTCGACTTCTTCTTCCTCGGAGGAACCGTGGGTGCTGTCCACGCTCATCACTTCATCGTCCTCTGTCTTCTTGCTCGGCGTTTAGCCATGACAATATATATATATATATATATATATATATATATATATATATATATATATATATATATATATATATATATATATATATATATTGTAGGCATTCATTAAGCACATCATCTATCTTTACACATATTCATCATCATGAGTGGTCGTCATCTTCTTCTGCTGTGGGGACTTGGCTTGTCTGAGTTCTGTGCCTTGGGCGTGGTCGCTTCATCGTGTCTTCCGGGCCTAATAAAGGTTGCCTTTACTGTTACATCACAAGTGGTGGAGTGTGCTCTACGATCTTCCGTCCTCTCCCAGCCCGATCTGCCTCCTGGAGCTGCGCTCAGGTCGTCGTTTGTACCAGGTGTCCGGTAACATGCCTCAGGACGAGCCAACCGGCGCTTCGTCTACCTCCACGGCCCCGGCTACCACGGCCTATCCATCGTGGATTATCACCGCGCACCAGCGTGAGCCGCCCACGTTCGCCGGACTTCGAGGTGAAGATGTGGAAGATTGGTTGGACCAGTTCAATCGAGCGAGTTCCACTAACAACTGGGATGATCCTACCAAGCTTCGCCGTGTTTCTTTCTACCTCACGGGCGTAGCGAAAACATGGTTTTTCAATCATGAAATGGACATTACGGACTGGACACGTTTCAAGCAACAGCTTCGCCAAATTTTTGGCACCCCGGCGGTTCGTTCAGCTCTCGCGAAGAAGACACTGGATTCTCGCAAGCAACAATGCGGTGAGCCTTTACTGTTACATCACAATAAATATATATATATATATATATATATATATATATATATATATATATATATATATATATATATATATATATGTATATATGTATATATATATATATATATATATACATATATGTATATATATATATATATATATATATATATATATATATATATATATATATATATATATATATATATATTTTGGTCACACTGACGAAGGCTGGCCCACCAGCCGAAACGTATGTGAATAATAAAAGTGTTTCCTCGTTAGTCGTGCTTTTTCGCTTCCGTTTATACTACGGAGCCAGTGTGCTTCCTTCCTCGCAATGTCTATATATATATATATATATATATATATATATATATATATATATATATATATATATATATATATATATATATATACATACATAGAGAGAGAGAGAGAGACCATGTGACATAGTTTACTATCTTACACTAAGAGAGACAAGTCAAATCGTACAGACTGTCATTTCGCATTAAGGACGTTTAACCAAGAAGGCAACAGCAATGCTCGTTTCCTTATGAAACTGTTAGATGGTGCAAAGGCTTCTCCCGCGTTCGTGAGGTAGTAACGTATAACGCGAGATAAACGCCAATTATGGGCACGTACCTGGTTCTGCAGAAAGAGTTGCGCTTGTACATTTGCTGGCAGCTGTCCTGGCTGCAAAAACACAAACTGGCCCATTTGATTCTGAAGATTTTGCTGATGCTGCTGGAGCTGCTGTTGTAGCTGCTGGAGGTCCTGGCTACTGACGGGAAGTCCAGGAAGACCTGAAGCCGTGGGCAACTGCGGTGGGTACAAGAAACGTGTATCGTGGAATCCTTTTAAATCGGACGCCAGTTTTACACAACGTATACACCACATGCATTAGGTGTTCGTGCGTGTTCGTGCAAAACAATGTAAATTCAGCACGAATCCTCACCTTGCCTACGTGCTGCAACTGCTGAGCCAATCCAGCCTGCATTAAAAGGTTCGGCTGCTGGCCCTGAGCTCCAGCTACCATCAGCTGCAGAAATAAGGAGCCTCGTAAGTCGACCGTTGAGGAGAACGTGGGCATGAGAGCGAACTTAAGCGTTCTTGTTGTCACAGTTTGCGCTCTAAAGAGCCGGGTGCCCTCCGGAATACGTTACCTGGTTGAGCGAGAGCTGCCCGGCGGCGGCCGCCGCGGCCAGTGCCGCGGCCGCCGTGGTGGTCACGAGCGCGGACGGGGGCACGACGGGTGTCGGAGTCGAGGCCGCCGCCAGCATGTCAGCCATGGGTCCCGCTTGGGTCCCATGGGTGCCGTTGGCCGCCGCCGCCGACATCTTGCCGCTGCCCGGCGCCACCTTCGCTTCCAGCTGCTCGTCGTCCATCTCGTGGAAGAGGCCCGACCGCGCTGACTTCTTGATCTGTTGTTGCAAGAGGGAACAGTGCACGCGTGTATATAGGCATAGCCAACTTGCGCACGCTTGACGCAAAATCCCACAAACAAACGAGCTGTGGACGAGAAAAAAAGATGATGTACGTAAGAGTAAGGTGGGGTGAGCGATGGTGTGGTTCTGATGTACACTTGAATACAAACGACACCTACTTTTTGCATTCTTTCACGCATACAAATATGCGCGACCGAGAATCGAACCCACGACCACGTCGTAACCAGAAGAATAACGCAACGGCACCCTGCGACTGCAACTCCCCCGTCTAAAGGCGGTTTCACACGACACGAAAAGCAACGATTTTCATTCTGCGAATTCGCTGGCAGCGCAAAAAAAAAGGGGGGGGGGGGACAGCTCAATCCCGCTGCAGCGGTCCGCGGCGAGCTACCAACATGTTGGCAAAATTTTCGCTCTGATCGCAGCGGCGGAGCGATTTTTGGTCGGGATCTATCGAAATAGGGCCGGGTCGGCCAAGCTGTCGAAATCGCGTCGACGTGTTTGTTATGGTGCTGGCCACTCTTGCGCATTTTAAAATGGAACCAGAAAGTGTTCTTAAATCACGAAACACAAATGCTCTTCATTACCGTTCATGGAAACTTAATATCATAGCGCACAGATCGTTACAATATATTTTTTAAAAAATCCACAGTGTCTGCCACCAAAAACGGTGGCAAGAAACGTTGCTCGCCGCTTCATTCGCTCAGCGAAAATCGCGGATCATTCTCGGTTCATGTGAAACAAAACTGCCATTAGGGACTGTTGCGAACAAAACTTGAAGCCAACGGAACGATTTGTTCTCCTCTGCAATTGTGGCACGTGAAACAGCCTTATTTCAAGTGGCTTGAAGTTAATAGAATAATTTTAAATGACAATGCTGTTCCCCCAAAGATTGACAACAGGCGATCATTTACTGGAAATATTTGGTGTGTGTTGTAAAACTGGAAACAACAACAACAACAAAAAAGCGTGCAGCCTATAGAAGACAAGACCGTGGCCTTCGCAGCATGGGGCCCGCGTTAAAACCGCGTATTTGCCGAAAAAAAACTTTTTTTTTGTTTTATTCACAGTTGGACAGACAGATTGCTCGTCGGGTCGGCATAGAAATGGGCACGCATTTCTGCTCGCTCTGCACAGTTGAAAATGGTTAAACTCGGCGGTTTTGAAGCTTGTATCTTTCCACATAGAGCAACAGCTTGCCCCGCCGCGGTGGTCTAGTGGCTAAGGTACTCGGCTACTGACCCGCAGGTCGCGGGTTCAAATCCCGGCTGCGGCAGCTACATTTCCGATGGAGGCGGAAATGTTGTAGGCCCGTGTGCTCAGATTTGGGTGCACGTTAAAGAACCCCAGGTGGTCGAAATTTCGGGAGCCCTCCACTACGGCGTCTCTCATAATCATATGGTGGTTTCGGGACGTTAAACCCCACAAATCAATCAAATCAATCAACAGCTTCGTTTTCCTTCTAGCTGAGCAATAAAAGCGCTATCTAGCTTTTTAGCGGTGGGCCAACGGCGACTGCCGAAGGCGTGACAACGCGCGCAAGTAGGCGATGCGCCGGGGTGTCTTTCGAGCTCCGTACATTGCGGTAAGAACGCAATCTAATCTCTCGAATTATCATCTCCCACTATATAGGCTCCCAATAGACACGTACGCGCTACGAAAGGCGTCTTTAATTCACCCTCAGCGCCAGAAATCACACGAGTAACAAGACAGCGCAGCTGATGTTTGTCGCTGCTGTGGCGGGCGATGATGATGATGTATTGTGGCTGAGCCTTTTGTGAAGGGTGGGAAGCCTAAAACCACATAAACTTACGCAATCCCCTCGGTGCTACGCCTGGTGTAGTTCTGTTTCTGTCCCGCAATATAGCCATACATGACACTTGCGTGTCAGGGGTTCTTTTTCGAAAAAGAAGGGTTCAAGCACTGAGTGCAGCTCTGTTGTAGAGCACTTGCTATAGCAACGATAAAAGCCTAGATTCGACACAGCCCCAGAAACTTGTTTTCTTTACTATATGTGAGCGATAGCTGCAACGGCAACCGGCGGAGAACTACGCCGTCAAACTGAACTGGTGTGAGCTCTTATATAACGCTGTGCAAATGTGCGAAGTGAATTCCCTCCTATAAGCTCGTCCGACACATGAGCCGAATCGCTGAAACGAATGCACAAAGCGAAAACATTTTTAGTTGTGTTTCGAACCACGCCCAGAAGCTTATAGTGCGTTGCCACGGGGATAAACACCCACACTTGTCCGTAGAGTTTTAGAATTGGGAACACAATGAATTTGCGAGCCGCATCGAGCGTGCACAGGGAAAGTGATTATAAATGAAAAGGAGAGAAAAGTGAGCCCTGAAACTGTCTCTCAGGGGGAGGACACCTCAACGGTAGCTCACGAGGAATGGGGGTAGAGAAGGAAATAAAAGGATAGGATTAAGAGGTAGAGAGAGAGGGGGGGGGAAGGAGAGAGCAAGGCGCAGGGACAGGGAGCGACGGAAGTAAGGAGAAGACAGGAAAGATGGACACGGTTGCAGGAGTCCGAGGACGGGGCACCACTGGCGAGAGCTCTTGTCGGCAACAGGAGATGGCGTAGGGCTAATCCAGTTGGCCCGAGCGACGCTGTCGTCGTCGTAAGGGAGCGGCGTCGGGAGGTGGCGTAGGACCAACCAAGTCGGCCAGAGCAATACTGTCCCCGGAGATCGCGAGGGCACAACCGGTCGGCATGGAATCCAGCAAACGAGTGTGAGTGCACGGAACTAGAGCTGTATCGGGTTCTTGTGTTCGCGTAAAAAGAAAGCCCGAAAAATCGAAAGCTAAAGCGGGTGCTTCTTGCGTTACCAGGGGTTGACCGTTCGACGCAAGAAAACTTTCAATTAATAGTTTTTCTGAACGGTCACTGAGGACATTGGAATTAAGGTACTCTATAAGACGACACGTAATGACGACATAAAGCATTGTACACATCGCAAAAAGAGAAATACGACTCTGCGAGTATTTATTGCCACATGCGTGTTTCAGTGACCGCGGGATATAGGAATTTTGTTGGGTTATTTCTCCCGCTGAGTAACACTGCAATAAAGAGCCTCGATGCATGGCCCCCACCCAGCGGAGAGAACGTGTATCAATCAAGGCAGCCTACGCTTGAAACAGGGGCGCGATTCTCGTCATTGCTACTCGGTGGACATGTCCGATTCGGCGGAGCGCGTCTATATAGTTGCGCAATAAGATTCACACCAATCGTGACGTCATGGCGTTCGTGGACGCCCCAAACGCGCCAACTCATTCCCAGCGTAAAAAAGAAAAGGAAATTCACAGCAGCGGGACTCTTAAACAAACGTGAGAAGTCTGAACTTGCGAATGAACGTGTTGAGAGGTTAGAAAAACGATGCGCGAATGCGTACCGACCTTCCAGGTCATACATAGCCTCCTAGATTTCCGTTGCCTGCCGAATGAGTGCGAAACGCCCGTCATCTATGGCAGCGCTACCTACGTAGGGGTAAGGGTCTTTGTACTTGGCCTTTGAGATCGGCAATTCTATCGTTTGCTAGGTTCAGAGGCTATGCCTTGTAATGAAGGGGCTGCCTGCTGAATGAGCGCAAGACGCCTGTCATCTATAACGGCGGCATCTTACGTAGGGTTAAATATAATTACGTTTACGCCTTTTTAAAACTTTTTTGCGTTATTTTTGTTGCATATAAGCTTCAAAAACGTAAAAACTTATTTGAAGACACCCCCTACTTGAGTGGCGCCACCACCATAGTTCCGACGACGGCCGCTTCCCAAGTGACCGCCGATAATCCGGCAGGCAAGGGAAATCTGGGAGGCTATGTCCAGGTGCGTCAGGCGGGCGGCCGCGTTAAACCTAATTCTAGGGCTACCATGATTACAATTCATGCAGGGCCTCCGAGATCTGCGTATAATTGAGGATCTCCGTGGGCAGCATTTCTTGCGAAAGTTGCGTGGCGTCAAAATGACCTTGCGGAAGAAAGACCGGAAACAGGCGGCGCGCTGCTCGCAGAGCTCTAGCCAACCAGCGGAGGTTCGAAGGAAGTATACTCTATAGGCACTGCATTGGAAGTGAACATGCCCACTAAGTGGACACACCACGAGAATAGCTCCCCAGGAAAGGCGCCGTGCCGACACTACAAAGATAAGGGAAGGCTGCAACCATATATATATATATATATATATATATATATATATATATATATATATATATATATATATATATATATATATATATATATATATATATATATATATATATATATTTTTTTTTTTTTTTTGAGGCAAAACTTCACAATTTCGCTTCACTCCAAGTACCAAAGAAGATTATGCGTGCAGCTCTTTTAATTTTATTTTTTTCCCGCGCAAAAAATTATTTTTTGCAAGTCGTTAATGATCAGCAAGGAAACTGTAATATCGTTTGGCTCTAATCATACATACCAAAAAAACCAGTATTGCAAGCGCTATTCCCTCGTTTTAGTAAACTCTTATCACAGATACCAACGTTGTGCATTTACGCACGTCTATTTAAGTATAGGGAGTGTAACCTACTCTTGAATTGCATGCAGATCTGGTGGTGTGCGCAAACAATAAAAAAAAAGAAGGACATGAAATGAGGCTATAAGGTGCACGCGCTCGAAATTACAATGAGCCTCCGCCGAGAAAAAGAAAAGACTGCATCAGGCCTCGGTGAATTCCGATAGAAGAATTACCGCGAGCAGGTACATGGCAAAGCACGGCTGCACGTGAAACAGCAAAATTACCTTTCGATGCAGCATCGCAGCCAATTAAGGAGGCTTCAAAGGCTCGTGCCAGATGCAGGGCGGTGCACGAGTAGAGAGCCACGCTTGGGTTAACAACCGCTTTCCAAAACAAACCCGACTGGCTTCGTCAGGGCCACTAATCTCTCGGGAGCAGCCCTCCCAAACGCAAGAAGCTGGAGCTACGCGAAACACACAGCGTCACACTGAATCATTGTTGCTTGCAAAAGTGTTTGCTCCCCGCAAATGCCACGGTAATTGACTCCTTCGTCTTTTCTATTTTCGCTTCGGTTTATCCGAGTCAAAGCGGTGACACGGGATTTGCGTCGCAGGGCGCATTCGAAATTGAGCTCGCCGCGTATAGCTCTCGGTGCGAGTTACATCCATGTAAGGATGATGTGGCCTGATTTCAAGCATTTCAATCTGGCGTACTGTGACATGTAATTATCGCGTGGAATGTTCCTAGAGAAGGGTGGCAGCGTTTCAGAAACACCGCAAAAGGGAAAAAAAATATAAGTCGTCCGTGAGCAGCGCCCGCTTCATGCGGACAAAGAATATGTATTACGCCTAAAGCTAACGACAAAAATAAATAAATGAAACTTGACGGGTTAATGAAAAACGGTAATACAGCTGGACGGGTTTGGACGAAGAAAATACTATGAAGCCGAGAAATGTTTTGTTGTGAAAGTGGGGCCACATTGTTTGCCTCATTTATCCCACAATAGCAGATGCGCACATATGCGCGCCAGAGCGCGGGTGAAGGCCTGCGGTGTATGTATGCTAACCGGATGGGTAATGCAGACGGGCCGCAAATGACGTTGCCGGAATGGAAAATTCCAAAACCGATTTAGCTACAAGTTGGCTCGTTTGAAATAACGTGCATACACCGCGGGAATCGCCGGGCGGTGATTTCCCATTTCTGGCCTGTCATTTGAAAGCGGAGCAGTGAACTTTTATGAAACAATGAAATCCGGCAGTCATAAAAAAAAATGTGCATATTTGGTTAGCACTGCCGCAGATGGACAACAGGTTTCATTGGAGCATTTCGTCGGTGGTTTCAGCCGGTTTATTTCCCCCATAACCCATGTAGCTATACAAATCTTCCTTCCAATACGTCATTTAAGGGAAATGCTGCGTTCGTGGAATGGCAACGCAGCAGCGGCGCGTTAGGTGATTTGAGAAGTCAGTATACTTATGCATATACGCTCGTGTATTTAAAGAGAAACTGAAACAATTTAAAGAAATAAACACTTTGTACAGTTGTACGTGTGGAAATCCCTGTATGATTACTAGGCCCGCCGTTATTAACGCGATAGCGTTAAAAAGCTCGAGTCGCACAAAACCCGCCGCTGGCGTTGACCCCATTGGTTATGAGCGAAAAACCATCTGTGCGTCTGTGACCGAAAAATCAAGTTACCAATATAGCCACGGGAGGCCGCTACTAGTCCACGCGTGCGCACGCGATCACACTGACAAAGCCGCGCATTCGAAGAAAGAAAGTACTCAAGGTCACGAGGCGCGGTAGTGTCTTTGCCCTGCCACCCCTCCCTGCTTATCTTTCAACGCTTTCGTCTGGACGAGAGAAGAGATAATGCAATTGCAGTATGCGACAAACCTTTGTAACTCCACTCGCCCTGGACGGATTCTTAAAATTTTTGCGGCATTGAATTCGTGAGGCAATAAGCTCTTCCAGTGAATTCGTTATATGGTTACTTGAAAAAGTGTTTCAGGGCCCCTTTAACGCATTTTGTTCGACAGGTGTCACGACGAAAATAAGCCCATTCGGCGATAATAGCGCGCGCAGGTACAATCTATTGTATGCGTGTTTTTGTGCGTGCGTGTGTTTGTAACAAAACATATGAATAAGTATGCACTTAGCGGTTGAAGGGTGCACAAGGGGCCGGATTTCGCTATCGCGTTCAACTCTTAAAGGCGAAGCGTAAGGCTCTCCGAATTTTTTATATAGTGCACGTCGTCGAACAAAGGTGGAGCCAACCTTATGACAAGGGAGAGTATATTCGTCACCTTGCTGAAATCACCTCTGCCACAGTGGAGATGTAATAACTGCTTTGTTTGAAGTCCCAGCACAACGCTATGCGAACACCAGAGCTCCGCAAATTTCGACCACTTTGGGTTGTTGAGATGCATCAAAATTCGAACACATGTGAATCTATAGCATTTGACCTCCATCAAAATTCGGCCGCTGCAGCCGGTATTAGGTACTGCGATTTTGGGGTCTAGAGCTTCTGTATTTGCTACACTTAAGAAGCATATTCAGGAACCATATACGGGTCAGCAGTCGAGCGATGTTATAACCTTACAGACCACCACGGCGGGTAGCCAAGCCTCTTTACGATTTTTAAGTTTTAGGCTTTCACGATGACATGTACCCCTGTGAAAGCGTTGGTTCCAACGAGATTCTTCGATTTATGGCTTCTCACCACAGCTTCGAATACAGTGCAACAAATAGCAGAAATACCACGAATACATATGTCAGCCTTCGAGGACAAATGCGCCTTTATATCTCCGAGATACCGCGAATAAATGTCGTCTGAGGCCGGTTGCACGCAACACGTCCATGACTTTTCTCTCATTCTACTGCGTTGTAAGCTGGCAGACCGCAGTCGCCATTGACGGAGGCGCGTCCTTTTCATAGCCGTCTTCCTCACGGCCATGCTCAATTCACCTATATCCTTGAATGCGCTTCCTTGCTCGCCCTCTTCTTATCTCTTTCATTTCAGTGCGCGATACGTGCAGCACACGGGCACGGAGAGGTGGAGATGGGGGCATATTTGCCCCCATTGCGGCATCTTTATCGCCGTCGGTGCGCACGCGATAAGCAGGAAGCACAACCAGGAACGGGGGTTACATCAGCGGTCTCTGCAGGGCACTATGACTACGCGCCTATTTTTTAGTCCTTATGTAAAAGCTTTCGCCGCAAAAGCTGTACCAGAAATTTGGGTGTGTAGGTGAAGGTGGGGGGGGGGGGGGTCTTGTTTGCAATCATGAACTTGGAGCAGCGGAGCAGCAAGAGCGGCAACAAAAGTGCCATTAAATTTCAATATATGGTTGCTTGATCCATGTAGATAAGTTTAGATGGATATCGGAAACTTAGAACAACGGCATAACAGAACTTGCTTTCGGGGTGGTATGGGGAAAGGTTCAACGTCTACCCTCCCCCCCCCCCCCAACTACGCTTGATTGATTTGTTATGTGGGGTTGAACGTCCCAAAAACCACCATAAACGATTATGATGTAACGCCGTAGTGGAGGGCTCCGGAAATTTCGAACTAACTGGGGTTCTTAAAACGTGCCACCCAAATCTGAGCACAACGGGCCATACAACATGTCCGCCCTCCATCGGAAATGCAGCCGGCCGCGGCCGGGATGTGAACCCGCGACCTGCGGGTCAGGAGTACAGCGAGTACCTTAGCCCTAGACCACCGCGGGCAGGGGCCCGCAACTACGCTTGTGCCTATTGACTTTTTCCCCCTAATAGTAACTGAACCACCAAAAGTAATAAGAAAAAACAAAACCAGGAAAGATTCAGAAACTAAATGAATAATTTATTTTATGTTACTTTGATACATCGGGAAGTAAAGGGTTTCAAACTTGGCACAACGTTCAGGCTTCAGGCAATCACGACTCCATTTTGCCGCGAGCAGTATACGAGGCATTTCGGTACGAAATAAGTAAATTAACGTAAGATACACGGCATTCTCTCATACTTCTTGCTCATTTGCATAGTGAGGGCCTCTGCACTGACAACGTGGTGTGGTGTGGCACTCGGTGCAATGTGGCACTTGAAAATATAGTGACCTAGATGGCCGCGCCTATGGTTCACGTTCTACGTGACGTCAGCAGATGAAAGGGTGGTTCACACTGGTCACAATGGCCATAAATAGCGCCGGCTAACGCTCTTAGCGCTAGGAGAACGTATGCGAAAAAAAAAAAAGTGAACTCGGAGAAACACAGCTCTATCAGCGTAGCACAATAGAATACAATGTCGCAAGCTCAAGGCGGCAGAAGTGCGCTCTGCTTCCATCGGCTGCAAGTTATTTCCGTGCACTGCATTCACGTTTCTGTATTCAGATTAAAATGACAGCTGATTTACCCATGTGTTTCCCCGCTTCATTGTCTGGTGGTCTTCACAAGCATCTTAGAAGGCACTGGGCTCGGGCTAGTTGGTACTCATCCGTAACTTTTGTAAGCGCTAAAGGCACGTATACGTAAGACTTGCCCTGTATCCTACGCTCGTCTTACGCACGTGCCTATCTGTAGCGCTTGCAAAAGTTATGGATAACATGTAAGACATAAAGCATCTCGGTTCCTGTTATTATTAACGAAATAAGTGAGGGGAAACGACGAGCGTGACACCTGGCGAGGCGTAGCTGGAATTTCGACGGCGTACTCGCAGTGTATATAGCTTGCAGAGTCTTCGTGACAGCAAGGAACCACGTGGGAAGAACGAGACGCGACGTCAGATTAACGATTCTATCGCGCAGTGACGCAGCCAGAAATTCAGGTGGGGCGGCGAGTACAGACCTTCCCCGTCCCTCTCTACCCCAAAATTTTCAATTTCACGTGTGTTTATATACCGGCACACGCACAAATTCACGTACGAACATAATGTAAAGACAACATCCCCCAAGCCCCGAAAAAAAAAAAAAAGTTTCTAGCTGTTGTACACCGTATGCCCTTTCACTTCAGAAGCTTTAGTGAAAATGTTCGACTTGTTGAAGCCTTGAAACTTAGTGCAGACCACGTGCAGGCGCAGACTTGCGAAGCTGCTCGCTCACGAAAAAATTACCATATTTTCTCGTAGGTCAGAGGCCGTGTCTCTGCTCGACATGGTTGTTTCTCCCATGCATGGTTTCTTACCTTCAGTGAGACTAAGTAAATTATCAACTGTAACACAGGACATTAATTCCAGACAACTTACAATCACATAATAAAACAAACAGTGGTGCTACTCTGCAAGACGGGAAAAGCGACGAAAGAAAAAAAAAAAAACGCTCGATGAGTAGCCGGTATACACTCACGAGATTGAGGGCTTTCTCGGAGTCCATACTGTCTTCATCCTGACCCAGGTCGCCCGTGTCTTGACTAGTTGCACTGTCTTGTGTGTCGTTCGAGAGGTCACCGTTCATCCCTGGATCTGCAAAACAAAAATAGAGCAGAAGAACGTTACAAAAAGAGTACCTGCATAACTACTGGTCAACAGAGACAGGTCCACGCTTTCCAGAGCGTATTTTCATCGGGCAAAGAAGTCATCGTAACCACTTCTAAGCATGCATTCTCAATGCGATATTTTCTATGCACATTCGAAGAAAGCGTGTGCACACACACACACACACACACACACACACACACACACACACACACACACACACACACACACAACACACACACACACAACCGAAACGCCAGTGGCCGATTTGATCAAGACTGGACTACGGTCAACGCTTCGAATAAACCTTTCCTCTAGTGTTGCTATTACGAGGCGTACTAAACGCTTTTGACCCTCTTCACCGCCACCTGATTTCACCAAATGGGGGACGGAGCCCTCAAAAGCTGCGTCTCTACACAAATTTTCAATTTTGCATGCGTATGTGCACCCTCGCATGCAAAAAAAACACACACACAAAAACACGCGACTATGCATAAAGATGGTCACCCCCCCCCCCCCCCACCTCCTACTAAAAAAAAGTATATATTCTTGCTACGGTCCTGTTACACAGTAACTTGCTATAAAATTAGAAATATTACGCAAGAGATCGGAAATTCGCACTTGTTGAGAAGACACCAACCCCGCAAGCCTTTGATGATGATGATGAAAACATAGGATAAAAAAAAATGACACCAGGTATAAGAAAGGAACAGATACGGGGAGAGAGAGAGATGCAAGGAAAAGCAAGGAGGTGAACCAGACGCACGTCTGGTTTGCTACCCTGCACTGGGAGATAGAGATAAAGGGATGGAAAGGGATGGAAGAAGAGAGGAAACAAAGATGTATACACGAAATCACGAGCACATTTGGGAAAAATCAAAGAGAACGAAAAAGACTACAAACATAAGTGCTCGAGAATTCCAACCGTCTATGCAAACACGTCTATATACATGCCGAACCCCGGCCCGCACGCCTGACGCATGCCTCGGCGCGGCGCCAGAAGGGCAGCCTTTAAAACAAACAAACAAAATATTATAAATAAATGGCGAGCTTAGCATAGGCAGAGCGTTACAAGCGAAACACGTCGCAGTGATGCAGCTGCATCGTTTTTAGGCTCCGTGACAATCGAGATAAGAACGAAAAATGCCACAGATAAGGCACCGTGAGCGCCGGCAACAAACGAGTCGTCGGCGGGACAGAAAATCCACGCACGAACAGCACAGCGAACAGTACATATGGAAGATGGCAGAAAGAGGAGGAGAGGATTGGTCCCACGCGGCGCATCTCGAAACCGCACGTGCTCCGTTCGGAAAGAGAACACCCGGAAGACAAACGTCACAGGAGGGGAAGGGGGGTCTCATTAAAATTAGAGCTCGTGCCAAGTTTTTCTTTCTTTTTTTTTCGCAGCACGCAGGCTTTCAATTTCACTGCCATGCTTTTTTTATTATTATTCCTTCTTCATCTTTCTCAGTCCTCGGCTACAGGCATGGTGAGGAGGCGACGCGTACAAGTGGTGCCGGGCATGGCTTGGCGCACGCACCCTTTGCCCTCTCCCGTATGCATCACGCGCGATGTACCGCACGTGTGGTGCATGCATGCATGCATGCAAGTCGCAACGCGCATTTATAACGCGACTGTCATGGGGTAACGCGTTCGCGCCACATGTGCCCGGCGACTCACGTATACATGTACCGTTCCGCAAACGATGCACGGCGGATTGGAACTGTGCAGTGTGCTCTCTAGTTAGAAGATAGGGAACAATTTTTGCGCACATACGAATAAGAAAGAACATCAAATCAGGGCGTATATAGTTCGCTTACAGTGAATAAGAAATTTTGACGTGGCCGTCACTTGTTCACATAATGTGGCAGTTCTACCGCTCGAAAGAAGCCACAAGCAAAGCACATGCCGGCCGAGTGGCGCACGACAACCGTTTCTAAACTTGCTCCGCACAAATTATTTATAAAGACTAAACTTATGCGCGACTAAGGGCGTTTATGCAAACTCGTACGACACGCGAGCGTTGGCGGTTATGAATAAAAAAAAAACGACGCGTTACAAGTCGTATATCATTTCGTTGTTTCCCGTCAAGGTAGCACATTTCCGCTTTACCGCGACCCCCCAGTGGATTAGTAGAGGAAGCTTCAACATTGTTAAGCGAAATGTTGAGGCTTATTGACAGCGTCAAGCAATTGCATATTCGAAGTGATAACAGACCAGTGGTTACCAGGGCTACCCATACCACACGGTGTAAGAAAAATTGTTCTTACACCATGCCCATACGCGTAGATTCCGGTCAAAGTACGATTAGAAGAGTGGGTATTCTTTGCGGACTATACTGACCGCAGTGTGCATACAACACAGCCGGCAAGGCAGGCGGCAAGCTGCATTGAGTTCCGGCCTAGACGTCTGTCCCTTTTACTGATGGCGGCTTCCATGCTAGACAGTCAGTGAAACCACCATGTTGCAGCACCAGTACAGTGGGAATCTTTGATATAAATGACGTCACTCTAATGTTCTGAGAACATCACGCCTGTTCTGTCGATATTCAGGTACAGCGGCCAATGATGCATAGGCTGCATCTCGATCACAATGATGCAGGTTAGCCAAAGCAGTGAATATGCCGCGTCTACGTCATGATAGCCACCATATTGTAGTACCGGCGCGTTAGGAAGATGAGCCCATGACGTCATGTGAAAGCTATTCATAATAATTTTCGCCCGACAAATCGTGCGTGAAGACGAAGTACTGCGCTGCAGTCATAGAATTCGCGACTTGAAACTCCCAAATCTCACAGCGATTTTATTTTTTTGTTTTATTTATACTAGTACCTCCAGTGCCACGAGAGCATTATTGCAGGGGTGGGGGGGATCAGGGGAAATATATACAATAGCAAAATATATGCAAATTAACATGCCAGCTACCAAAGCTCCAGATACTTTTTACGGTGTTTTGCCCCAAAGCGACTCAAGCTATTAGAGAGGGCTTAGTCGAAAGCTCCAAATAATTTGACCACTTAAGCTTCCTTCACGTCCATTAACATCACATAATACATTTCTCGTCCATCAAAATGCTACCGCCACGGCGAGGTCTGAACCACTATGCGAGTTGTCACACTAACATATATATGTGACAGTTTTAATCGTAGTGGTGAGCCCCGCCGCGGTGGCCAAGTGGCTAAGGTACTCGGCTGCTGATCCGCGGGTCACGGGATCGAATCACGGCTGCGGCGGCTGCATTTTCGATGAAGGCGAAAATGTTGCAGGCCCGTGTGCTCAGATTTGGATGCACGTTGAAGAACCCCAGGTGGTCGCAATTTCCGGAGCCCTTCACTATACGGCGTCCCTCACAATTATGTGGTGGTTTTGGGACGTTAAACCCCGCATATCACTCAATCAATCGTAGTGGTAAAATAAAAACACCATGCATGTGCGGCAACGCGCAGTAGAGTCACAGCGAAAGCTAGAAGAGCGGCCTTTCAGAACATTTATAAACACTCTTTGGGGTAACTGCTACAAGCACAGTTGCTGGGTACCCAGTACGCCATAAATAATCATAAATATCGTGTAGTAGGCCAGCATTCACAATGCCATCCTTCGTAATTCTTTGGAGAAGCGTGGTATCCGCTACGCACTTGTTGAAAATTTTGTGCAATTTTTTATGCAGCGGCTCACGAAGATGAAGAATTATGCCTGCAAGGTGGGTATGCGCCACAGATGATAGGGTGATCAAGAACGAATTTTCTAATAGGTTTGAGCACTGGAGGAACCCACTCGTTATGCAATTCGCATTATGTGAGGCCTGGTTGTTCCTTTCGATGTTCTAAAACGCTTTGATTACTCATATTTTAACGCAATTCCTTTCCAGAGAGCAAGCCTGCCTAAGGCCAGTTTAGAGACTTTCAAGCACTGGCGTGACAGCGTGCCCCGGGTTCAAATACTGAGTATTACTGAGTGTTTCTTTTTCTTATTTCTTGCGATAATGGTTACGGACAGCGGCGGCGGCGGACAACTATACGGCACCGAGCGTGACCCGCGTTCTGATCTCATAACAGCTTTCGCTGTAAAAAAAAAGGACATCGCGGAGAAGGCGAGAATTTAACGACGCAGACGCCCCCTTGAAACGCAATGGGCAAACAGCTACAAAGGCAGAACTAAAAATTGCCTTGACATACTCGATGTGTCAGTTTCGGTGACACGTCTGTCCAGTCCCGGTGTACGCGACACAGTAAGGCACAGAAGGCCGCACCGAGCGGGCAACTGAACGGCTATTCATTGAGTACAAAAAAAAAAAACAAAAAAAAACCGCTACGCTACGGGGCCAGTGCCGTGAACCTGCACTGATGCAGCTGAACAAACCGTAAAGCTTTTTTTATAAATGTCGATACTGTCACGTAAGCGCATCTGCGAATCGAATGTACCAAAATCAGGCAGGAAACTATAAACATATCACACTGCCATCGACGAATGCCGTGCGCAGGGAGCTTGGAGAACGCATCGAGCGATCTTTCGATATGCTCAAGTGTACGCTTGGTTATCTGCTTGCTAATCGCGCGCATGAATATTCGCAGCAAAACAGGATGCACATAGGGTCGACGCACACGCACAGCCACATACGTGCACCGTTTATTCGGAATGTCCAGGTAACAGCTTAAGCCAAGATGGAAAAATCACCGGCCAGTTTCCGCTCCGAGCAAATTGCAGAGGAAAGCAAAATACTCAACCTCATGCAAACTTCATGACAGCATGAGTCAAATGGATGAAAAGGGGCAGGTTAAAGACCTGGTATATCTCTCTCTTTCTCTCTCACTCACAGAGAGAGAGAGGAGGGAGAGACCCCTCTCTTTCTCTCTCAGTGAGTGAGAGAGAGAGAACAGACAATCATGCTGTTTCCATAAATTGCTTTCTCAATTTATCGCTATCTACAGTAAAAACGAAATCCTGCCACGTACATTCTTTGTTTTATTTTATTTCTTTTTACTTTGGGAA